TGTTGAAAATTATCATGGAGATGTTGATGATATTCATTTTCCCTCTTCTAGTACTTATGGCCACCTTGACATGAATGAAACGTCAGAGCTGAATTATAGTAATCAAGCTCAGCAGAGTATTTGTTTCCAACCTGCCGTTGAAGAAGTTCCAGGTGAAATGGGCGTCGGTAGTACAAATGATGGTGAGGAAATTTTCAATGCTGAAACTGTGACAGCACAGGCTAGGGATGGGTTTAGTTTTGGTATTAGTGGGGGGAGTGTTGGTATGTGTGCCAGCCATGAAGCTGAAATCCATGGAGCAGATGTCTCTGTGCATAGAACAGATAGTGTAGTTGGTGATGTAGAACCCAGAATGGAAGATGCTGAAAATCAGGGTCAAACTGGTGAATCTGCTCCAGATCGTGGGTTGATGGATGAGGTCATCCCTGGTGAAATAAATAGGGAGGATCCTCGTGGTGATAGCCAGGAAATGTTTTCTCGCTCCTTGGGAAGGGATGATAGTGGTTCAAAAGTTGATGGTTCTGCCAAGGCAGAGTCTGTTGAAAGTGGTGAAAAGATAAGCCAAAGCTGCAAACTAGTTCCAGATAACATTGCTCATCCTTCTCTTTCCTGCAATGCTAATATGTACTCTGGTAATGGAACACCCAATAAAGAATCAAAAGATGCTGGAAAATCTTCTTCCATAAACAATTTTCCAGAGCCAGAGTCAGATTATGTTGTTGCAAATGGAATAGGTAAACTATGTGCATTAACTGGTATATTCAAGCCATAAATTTTGTATGGATTTACAGGCTCTTTGGTGCTGAGGTATGATGTAATTTTTCTTCAGATTACATAAGGTTTCAGTGGTAACCCCTGTAGTTTGGTTCACAATTTCTTTCACTGTGCTGCTGAAGCAGTAAGAATGAGCAATTCTCAGGACCATAACAATTTGTCGTCTGGGCTGGAGTTGATTAAAATTTTCTGGATCATGTACTTATTTCTATTGGTTGCTAAATCTATATTCAACATTTAGCACTGCACCCCATGTGCATGGAAATGTGCACCAATTCAGTTCTAGTTGATGCTATCTTCATCTGTCTAATCATATCCAACTTTTTTGTTTGTATTGAAGTTCACGTTTCACTCAATTGTATGACATTTTGAAGGTGGTTTCAATGAATGTGGTTCACCCTTTCCATTTCCCTTTTTTTCCTCTACCGGATGCCTTATGAAGACTACTTGTGTTTTAGGCCCACCAAAAGGAGAAAGCAATTATGAAGCAGTAGAATTTGATCCAATTATTCATCACAACCAATTCTGCCCCTGGGTGAATGGAACAGTTGCTGCTGCTGGCTGTAGTAGCACCAGTGCTGATGTTGTTGCACATTGTGGATGGCAGCTGACCTTGGATGCCTTGGATGCCCTGCGGTCACAGGGGCAAATTCCTTGCAGACAGTACAATCTGAGTCAGCAGCATCGTTGTACAAGGTTTGTTGTCTTGATACTTCAATATGGTAGATTTGGGGCCATAGGTTACTATAGTAACCCTTCATTTCCTCAGCTATTGCCAATTTTCTTGTGCAGGATGACCACCAAACTCCTGGTAAAAAGCTCCATCGACGGCGTCCTATGAACAAAAATCACAGGCAGTAATATGAAGTGCAAATACACCTGCAATGGCTAGTAAGTATGTCAGTTATGTAAAATGCTTGGTTGTAGCTTCTAATCATGCATCTTTCTTTATGTAAACCTACTTTAAATTGAATTTGGGTCATATGTATAGGATATAAATATACATTTATGTGTGTATGTTCATCTTTCTTTCTTTTTCTTCAATGTGAAAAAGTAGTCGAAAATAACTATATTTTATTTTGGTCCGAATCAACACCATATGTTACGCATGAAAATATCAGCATAATTGATCTTAGGTTGACTAAACTAGAATAAGGTTTGTTGCAAAGGGGAGCGGTTATATGTGCTAGCTTTTATGCAATTAATTGTTGACTACACAGCTATTTCAAACCTTTCTTTTTGGCAGGAAATAGTTCTTTTCCATCTCTGACTATTTTAAGAAGGATCTTGTTGACACCAAAATGAAAGGAGAATCTTTGACTATAAACTTAATGCTCTTGTGAGAAGTATGGCATAATCTGAAAGTCTAAATGCAGTGAAATACTCGACTTCCTAGATGACAATTAAAAGAAATAGTTGGTTTGGAGCTGAAGTTTTGAAAATCTAAATGCTGAACGCAGGTTATTGATGTGCCAAACCCAAAAGGTTGCAAGAAAATATAAGGGAGAATACTCAGAGACAGAGCCATATTATATAATATGAGCATTATGTATTTAGTGTCCCAGAGTTAAATATAACAACCAAGGCAACCTTCTTCCGAACTCCAGTAAAAATCGAAAAAAAGATGTTCGTTGTTTGTCTGACCCTTAGGGTTTGATCTTCATGTTGTATGTCATTGCCAATGTCATGTAGGATGGAATAAGGCATTCTCAACGGCTGGAGCAAATTGGAAAAGCATTTTCAGCCACCAGCCCAGGTAGAAGTTGCGTCGTTTCTTATCTTCCATTCTTATCTCATGGTTAAGTACTGTGTTAGTACTTACTGCATAGATAATCTATATTTCTGTCTCAAAGCTGGTTCTCAGCATTATGAAGATTTATTATTACTACTATTCACTTTATCTGTGATGTGACAGTGAACATTGCTGTTATTTTATGAACGAAGCCTTTTTGTCTTCTTCTTAAGATTCTTCTACTCTGTGTTTTGGGTTGTTTTATAAATAATGTATACTTAGTAATCTCAACCTTCGTAAATATGACTATGTGTACTTTAAATAATTTACGATGATACCTGAAGTTTAGACCAATATAGTTGATTGTTAAACGAAAATGGTTCGAAATGGCTACCCGTAATTCTTAAACCCTTAATTAGAAAATTAATACGTCTTTAAATACGTTTGAACTCTTTTACAAGATATTGGAGTATGAACAGTGTAGTTGGAATCCCAAGGCAATGGTGACAGTGATGTCAATAAGATGGGATGCTTCATGGTCTACTTCGGATCCACTTAACTCGTATGAAGGAAATCTAGCTTCATCCAATTCGTTCATTCAGATGAAAAATTGCCTGAAGACGACGAGATATCATAACTCAATTCAATTGCCACGTCTCATTGCCAAATAACATACAAATAAAGACTAATAAGATCAGTTTTCAGACAATCAGCCTATCTCTCTCCATCATGTCTGCAACAGCATTCCAATCTTCCCTGTGCATTTCTTCCTGAGACCCTCATTTTCTACCACAAATTCCCAAGAACCAAACACCCATCTGGCATCAAAACACCAAATCCTCATCCACAAACACCCACCTTACTCATCGGCTCACCACCACCTCTCCTTTCAAATCAAGGATAAAATCTTGTGCCTCGAGATCATGGGCATTGACTCAGGCACTCTCTCTAAACCCATCTCTTCACACCACCTCCCTTGATCCCCTCAACTCCGTCATCTCCTTTCAATCCATAGGCATTCACCATAAGGACTTCCCTAGAATCTTTGGCATGTGCCCCAAAATCTTGACCTACAACATCAAAACTGGGACCTTAACCCAGTTTTCAGTTTCCTCTCTCAAGACCTTAATGTCCCAGAAAACAACTACAGGTAGGTCATAAACAAGTGTCCAAGACTGCTCACTTCAAGTGTCAGAGACCAACTGAAACCAGCATCGTTCTATCTTCAAAGGCTTGGGTTTAAAGATTTTGAAGCTTTGGCTTATCAAGACCCTGTCTTGCTAGTTTCTAGTTTGGAACATACCTTGATACCCAATCTTAAGTTCTTAGAAAGTATAGGGTTCTCAAGCAATGAAGCTAAAAGCATGGTGTTGAGGTGCCCATGGTTGTTCACTTTCAGCATAGAAAACAACTAAAAGCCAAAATTAGAGTACTTTAGAGATGAGATGAATGGGGATTTGGAGGAGTTGAAGGAGTTTCCTCAATTCTTTGCTTTTAGTTTGGAGAAGAGGATAAAAACAAGGCACATTGAAGTCATGAAAAGTAGGGTTAAATTGTCATTGGCTAAAATGCTGAAGAGCACTGATGAAGAGTTCGAAGAGGTGCTGAGAAACACTGAGGCTTATAGCTGATGATCATATGTATGTAATTTTCTTCTTTGTGAACCTTGTTTCATATGTAAAATTGGTAGTTTCATACGGTGGCTTGTGAAGGAAAAGTACCCGAAGTGGTTGAAGATGATGTTTCATTAATATTCATTGAATAAGATTTTGAATTCAAATATTATAAATAAGGAAAAAAAACACTTATAGGAGACATTAAGCTTTGAGCCATTAAATAATTAACAATAAGACGACGTGGCAGTGTGATATTGATATGGTATTGAGATTGAAGTCAAAAATAATTTGTTATTCCATCTCATCATCCTTCTCAATCAAAGTTAGAGTTTTTTCACTTTCGTCACTCTTTGACGTCTTTTGTGATTATTCTAAACATTGATGAGCCCTTCGACGTCTTTTGTGATTACTCTAAACATTGATGAACCCACTGCTTCCTACTATGGTTAAAGCCCGATGATACTAGATTTTTTTTTTCCAGGATGTGTTTTGAAACACAAGTTCACTTTCATCAAACAGTTTGATGGAACATGTCTCCTCCACACGTTCAACATCGACAACTTTATTAGCTTCCGATGCTTGGTTTTCGACACATGACGTCAACTGTATGAACCCCGTCACATGGCTCTTGACTGAGCATTTTCAAAACTTGGGGAACTTCAAAAATAGTTGAACTTCAACTTGGAAAAAGCTAAGCTTGCTTCAATAGCATAGGATATATAGATATTTTTTATAAGTACAGAGTATTACTATTAGCTTTAATGAATATATACTTCAAAGCTAGAGTTGGGCAGCTGTTTCCACCTACTATAAAAGGGTTTTTGCAAGACACTAATATTACAGGAGAAAAACAGTACCATAACCGGTCAAGAATTCGTTCAGTAGTCCAAAGAACCAACAGAGGCGATACCAGAGCTGAGATTTCTCGAGTCCTGTCGGTTCACGTAGTCATCACAACTGCCTTTTGAGAGCCTCTGAACTGGCACGGAGTTTAGAAGCTCCAGGCCTCGTTTGCCCATTTGTTGCACTTCCTGCGGGGAAAGTATCTTGATACACCAGACACTGTTAACAAACTCCCTGGTAGAAAAAACAAATCCGGAATTAGTAAAAGAAGTCGGTATTGGAAAACCCCAGAATAGATTTCAATGCATGCACCGAAGATATTTTTATTAATCATACACTAAATGAACTCAGACATGCAATCTAGGGTCGAGGAAAAACAATATCTATAATAATAATAATGAGAATGGAAACTCACGGCCAGGGGTCATCGCCGAGGAGAAGAACATCATTCTCTCGGTCAACAAATACAAGCTGCCAGCCTGATCTCAGGGGGTCCTCCAACTGGCCTTCAAGGCCAAACATATGAGAGAGTTCACTGCGGAGCTCATTGTAGCTGCTGAATGCAGAAATATCCAATGATCTACCGAAGGACCCTGATTTATAAACCTGTTCATAGTGAAAACATTCACATCAACTATAAAAGATAATCGTCTGAAACAATGACAAAATCAAACTTCAAAAACCAGGTTGAACTCGCATAAATGAAAAAAATAAATGCAACTAACCTTAACAAAGGTTCTAGTTTGTGGGTTTCCTTGGCTCGCATTTTCCTGAGACTGCAAGATTCCAGATTCATCAATGCAACTTGAAGGTTTCATTGCTGGATTAATGGAAAAATCAGTCCCAGAAGTACTCATATAATTAGAAAAGAAGGGTATAGAAGTCGAATCACTATCAGCGCCAACTCCCCTAAGGCCTGTCATCCCATTCTGCATTAGAACAGATGAAGGCTCTATATTAACACCAAATAAGAAATGGCTCTGTGGATTTGTACCCCCTTGGTCTATCGAGCATTCCCTGCCAGGAAACGGAGGCAATGAGATAGTGTTTCCAGAATTTTTTGTTTGGGACGGCCCCAACTGTTCCACCTGTGGTAGAACACACTGTGGAGACCCAGATGAGAGAACATCAACAGCAACTCGCTTAGATGGCCATGCAGCAGAAGTTTCTGTGGGGTTAGTTCGTGGCAGGTTGAGCAGATTGGAAGATTCATCTTGGGGGAAGGAACCCAAAAGACTATGCAAAGGGGAAACGACAGTGCTGGTCACAGGGTTCCCATTGGAATCAGAAAAACTCGCTTTCTGGCATAGTGAAGGTATGGATTGCAATGGAGATGACTGGGATTGAGAGGCTGAAGCATACAGTGAAATGCCAGACACTGCACTAGAAATATGCTGTTGCTGTGACAGTGCATGCTGTGGCTGTTGTTGCTGTTGATTAGTAAACAGCGGATGCTGGGCCTGCTGTTGCTGTTGGCTATTAAACAATGGATGCTGCTGCTGCTGCTGCTGCTGCTGTTGGTTACTAAACGAACTCTGATGTTGCAATTGTTGCTGAAGTAGATGTGGCCAAGTTTGAGGCTGGTTGTCTTCGACAACACCCTGAAGAATGGCCTGAGGCTGAGACTGCTGCTGCATCTGGGGCTGCATCAGAGCAGCAGGCCTGCAGGTGACATTCTGGGGTTGCTGGAAATCCAGAAGGGAAGTAGCTGCTGATCTGAAAGGATCCACAGTTTTCATCTCTTGCAATGCAGCAGCAGCCATAGCTTGGTACATTTCAGTTTGCAAACCCAGCATGGAGGCATCTAGCCTTGGCTGCATCCATGGTGTAACTCCAATCCCTTGAAAATTCAGATGCTGCATTCCTTGAGCTGCATCTCCTTGTAGCCACATAAGAGGAGAACTAATGCCTAGATCATCATCCTTGATTCCTACAAACAAAGAGAGTCAAATTAAAAGGAATAAGCATGCTAAAGAAGAGAGGAGAAAACTATGAGTAGTGACACTATACAACCATGGAATTAGAAGTAGACTAGCATACCATTGAAAGAAGGTAATCCCGGAGGCCATGGGCGCTTAAGCCTTAATGGAAATGGAGATGGATACATTGGGAATGTCGTCAACGGTTCAATCTCCCATAAGGAAACTCTTGGCTGCCTTTCACCAGCTGTTGATTCATCCCAACCAACCTACACAAATAAGTTCAAACACTATCATCACCGTAGATAGAAAATCTAAAACAACAAATGTGCAAATACTAAAAAAAACAAATTATCAATGCAACCATTCTAAACATACCTTGACTGATCGCCAATGTGAATTTGGCCACCGAACAGGATCTAAGTCACTTATGCCAGTTATCGTCCCCATGTAACTAAGCGACACACAATCATCAGTTACAAATTAAATGATATTCACAAGTAAACAAAGAGAAGGGGCACAAAGCAAGAATCATTGAAAAAGGCATTATAAAAGAGCATAAATGGAACAGAATATCTCAGAAAAACTGCAAATTAATCCTTTGTGAGGAAAGCCAAGCCAGTCAGGCATCAGTTGCATAGTTAAAAGAATGATAATCTAATCCTTTTGTATGGAAAACTATTTTAAACAGTTAGAAGAATCAACCGTTAAAACTTGAAAGCAAAAAAAAATAGAAATTGAAGCTTACCGACGAACGCTTGATTCTTCAGTTTCAAACAGCATTCTAAAACGCATACCAACAGACACTCGAGTATGATAAACAGCTTTGATATATTTCGAGAGAGGTATGACAAATTCTGATGGACTAGCCCTGGATTGAACAGGAATAAATTTAGATGGGTTGCGGAATCAATAATCAGAACATAGCAAATAGTGACAATCTGAGAAGGCATGGCGGTAGCATCATACCTTGGGTTATAAAATATAGTGAACCGACTATTTGTTGCAGCTGCATGAGCAGCAGCAGCAAGAATTCCTAAGTGCATGCTATCGCTTGATAAGACTGACGAAGGCATTACAGTTTGAGGTCGATTAGCTCGCCGGATTCCAAGAAGTAATTGATTTTTTTCATTCCTGTCAATATGACCCATATGCTGGTTTGAGCATCAACAAACCAACAATCTACAGCAATTTGCATTTTAGAGAACAAAGTAGGAGATGCAGAAAATATCCCGAGAGATAACATTCTCATGTCTGCATCTTCTTATACCAGGTGAGTAGAAAAATGGGAACAAAGCCAGCTAAAATGAAAGACAAGCCAACAACCTACCAGATAAAAAGCACTGAATCACCCGCAACAAGTCTTTTAGCACTTACAAATACACTCCATCCTGTTGTCAGGAGGTGCCTTTTGGGCTGGCCTGCGTGGGAACAAGTCAATGACGGCATTGCAGAAAAAAATATTCATATTTTAAGGGGAAAAAGGGATTTTTAATAAGCTCACCCCGAAATATATGCCTAAATTTCCATTCATTATCATGCAAGTCCCTTGCGATCAACTCTTGAGCTGGAGGCTGCTGGGAAAAGTCCTGAAAGCAATTAATGGCATAAATTAGGAATAAATCATTGCAACAAAAAGAACGAACGAGTATCAACACTAATGGTAACGAAAGCATACCAGTGGAGGAAACACTTTTTCAGCTGCACGGCGAGGAACAGAGAACCCTCCATGAGTACTTGTGTCACTGGCTGTTAACGTTTTGCAGAAATAATTTGTTGGCTGTTTGCTGAGAGTACCCAATTCTGCGGGCAGATAAGCCTCCTTTTGTTCTTGCTGTAGAGCAAGTAGTCTTCAATACTTGAAAGAATCAATAAGACTAAATAACTCAAAAGAAAGCCATTAGAAAACAGCTTACCGGAGTCAGTGGTTGCAAGGTCATTTGTGCATACACTTCATCTGTTTCAACATCTGCCTGAGGTTGACAAATTTCGAGGCTTCAGAAACAAGTCCAATGGAGACAGCATCAGAAAACCAAATTAAAACAATCCTTACATGCATGGTAACATTATGAAGCTGACAAAGCAGTTGCGGAGGTAAGCTCGGGTAGTTTGGTATGTGGCCATCCACTTCCTTATTGGTTGTTGCAGCTACCTACAAAGAAAACCAAAAAAATGCTTGGCTACTGAATATGATGTCTAATCAAGTACAATGAACCACGATACACAGAAAGATCCAAAATGATAACATCAACTAGCATGTTCGAAGATGACGCAGACTCGGTTACAGTAAAGCCCAGAGCAAAACACAACATAGAGAAACAGGAATCAACATACAATTCCCTATGATCCATGACCATGCAAGCACTTAACATAAAACATCGATCAGTTCCCACCATATACAACAAACCATTTTTTCCACAGTGACTGAGGATCAATTATGGTCTCCCGTAACATGGTGGGTTGTGAAAGCGGGGGTAAAGAATCCAAGTTTCCCGGGGATTTTCAATTGCAAAATACAAGTATAACGCAAGTTCACCATAGACCTGCTGGATCATCAATTATGGCAGCTAAAAAGCAGATGAATTGGAGTCAGGCTGGGATGCTCATGTCACACAAATGCCTATACAGTAAAATAGTATTTGGTGCTAAAAAAGACACATTTAAAGATCACACTTTCAATATTTTACATTCTTTCAATATCCATACAGGAAAAGTGGCAATAATGATGATATGCCTGCAAATAAATTTTTCACTTTTTTTCCTCGGAAAAGACGGTGAAACAATATTCATGATTTATTCTTCATAAAGCAAATACAACTTGTTGCATACACACCATCAGCAATAAAGAACATATGCTTCAAAAATCCATTACCAAAGAACAAGATAAGCTGAAGTTCAAGGATACCGACCTGTTCACTATGGCCCTGTGGGAAATAAACAACCCTACTTCCCACCAGAGGTAGAGAAACAAGTGGTCCCGCACATGCATGCCAAAGCTCAGAGTTCAACACTCTCTTTTCCCCTGCAGGATCTGTTTTTGCATTAATTCAAAACCAGTTCAGCAAAATTAAAAGAGAAAAATAATGAACAAACTAGTAAATTGATAAAAAAATGAGGGGAAAAAAGAATTAGTAAACTAAACATGTAATCTATCCAGAGGATGCTTGAAAGAAAGAAAATCCAAACTTCCAACAAATTTGGGTTTGCATTAAGCTCCCAAAAAAGGCTTGAGAAGAGCAAAAAATGTAAATCCACAAATTCAGCAAGATATAACATATTAAAACCTCGGTTTGACATAGATAAAAGGGTAATGAGGTTAACGTAGAATTAAGTTTCAAAAATCTTCACCCCAGATTTTTTTAAAATAGATTCAATTTCAACAAACCAATAAATGGAAATCCAAATAAACTGCGATTACTGATATGGGGTTTAACATTTTAAGATTTCAGCTTCTCCTGTATTTTCTAAGGCCAGAAAACAAAGCCAATTGCAACCCAAAAATCAACATCCATATGATAATTTCAACTTCACCTCTCCCAAGGAACTCAATCTAATCCTTTACACACACACGCACAAACACTCACACACAGAGAGAGAGATGCAACAAAAAGAAGAAGCATACCTTCCTGATGTTGTGGATTGAAACCAGCTGAAGAAAGTCTCATTTTTCTTTTCTAGATAAGTTTCAGTAACACCTTTAAATCCAAGTTTGTACCCTCAAAAGAGAAAAAAAAGATCACCACCCCAAACCCCCTCCTTTAACCAGACCGAAGTCCTCCAAAACCTTTCTTTACTCCTTTGTCTCCACACAAAAAAAAATGCCTTGACAAGAATCAACTCCAATTGAGCAAAAGGCTTTAAGAAAAAACAGAACAAAGAAAACAAGTCCCAACACTTGTCTTTTTTTTTTTATTCAACCGAAACCGGTTTTAGTACAAAAGACAATCGCTTTCAGCCTCATCCGCCTCCTATCTTCTTCTTCCCCACCCAAAAGAAAATAACCAAGTGTTCTTTCTCTTGATCCAAAACCTTAACGTTAAAACAACATAGTCTTCTCCTTTTCTATGTTTCCAACACTTCAGCCCCACTTTTCAGCTCCCAAAACACACAGACTTTTGTTCCTTAAAGTGTGACAACAAAACAACAGCTTTTATCTCCTTGAGTTCCTCAAAGCTGTAAACCACTAACCTCAGAAACCAAAAACACCCACCAGATCTCAGCTATAATGATTTATTTTTATCCCAGTCCCTCACCTACAAGTACCTTTTTTTCAAAACAAAAGAAAAAGCCCAGATCTTTATTCTCACTCACAAACCCAAAATACAAGTACTGCTACTATTTTGCATTTGGGGCACTCTCCTTTGTACAATCTAAGTGTATTAGTAAGAAGTAATGGGCATTTATAGATATTTTTGGTTCAGAAGAATATATGTTTTACATCAATGGAATACGGTTGAGTAGTAGAGGAAATTTTCACTAGGTGATGAGTAATGGGAGAGAAAAAGGAAGGAAATGAAAGGAAAGAGGAGAGAGTTTCGTGCTGCTGACTACTTGTACTATTTAGTGCTCTTTGCCCTTGCTGTTTGCTTTCTTCCCCTTTCCCTCTATCGCTTTGCTATTGCTCCACCAACCAATGAACATATACGACTGCCATTATTTTTTTCTTTTTCCCCTTTGGGCTGTCTTTTCTCTGTATACCATGAAACAAATACAAGAAAAAAATGGAAAAAGAAAAAGGATTTTCACAGAGAGAGAAAGTGTCAGATGATTGTTTATCAGATAAAAGAGTTCCCCACTTGAACGCTTGATGAATTACTCAAGCAACCTTTTTTATTTATATTTTCTAGTTTAAATAAACAAAAGAATATTCTAACATTTGCATGGAATGATTAGGGGGATCACTGTGCATGAGCAACTTGCAGCTTTGCCTCGTCTCAATTAATATGGGCCGAAATATAGGCCCAATTGCATACATTTATAGTTTTTTTAAAGAAATCTAAAAATTGATTTAAAATTAATTATATGGTTTAGTTTCATTCATATTTTTATTTATTGATGCGACTTTAGTTCAATTTAGATGTATGATTTTAACACGAATCAAGCGACTTCAGTTAGGGATGGACATGAGATTCGAATACGATATATTTTGACCCGACTCGATCTGATCGGGTAGAATTTTTTTTAAAAAAATGGGTTCGGATTTAGGGTGAAAAATATTCGACCCGACCCTAAAAATATATAATTTACCGTATATATTTAGGAATACTTACAATAATATCCCTCTATATATTATTATTTTTCAATTAAGTCATTGTTTTTATTGTACACAAATATTTTTTTATTATTTTGGTTGGGTTCGGGTTTAGGGTTGGGTCGGGTTTTTAAGTTATATATCGGGTTTTTATTATTTTGAGTCGGGTTGGGTCGGGTGAAAACTTGTTTTGGTTGGGTCGGGTCTCGGGTGGAGAACTCCTTGTTCTCAGGTCGGTTAGGTGGACCAAAAACCCGACCCAACCGACTCATGCCCATCCTAACTTCAGTGGTTAAGTAATCGATATTATTTTACGAGGATATATATTATCTTATATTTATCCCAAATTAATAAAAAAATGTAACTTGTGTATTTATACTCATTTTAAGTTTGAAGTTTATTTTATATATATATATATATGTTGAGTTTGAAAAATAATATACAATTTAAATTTACAATATAAAGATCGAATCGAACATTTTTTTTCATTTTTATATAATTCAGTTTCGATTTTATTTTTAAAAATTAAAATATTACATTTTGGTCCATCTTTTACTAAAATGAACCGAACAAAATTGAATATGCCCTTATTAAATAGTAATTGGACATTGTTTTTGTCAATTTATTTCATTAGATGAATCACATGTGTTTTAGAAGTGAATGAGATTGATCAATTAAATAAAAAATCATTGATCTAATTAATTGAATCAATTAGATAAAATTATAAGTCATGTAAATTATATGAACAGATAAATAATAAAAAATCGAAGTCAATAATTAATTATTCGATCAATTGAACTAGATTCAGACGGTTTTATATTGATTTTTTAAAAATTTATTTAATCAATTTTGAACTAGTAATTCAATAAAAAAATTAATCAAACTAAAATTAGACATATAGGGACGCGTGATTCTTAGGGACGAATTTATAAAATTTTAGGAGGGAATTTATAAAATTTTAGGGGACGAAAACAGATTATTAATTGAAAATATTTAAAATATATAATAATTTGTAACTTTTAGAGGGTCTATCCTCGATTGAAAATGTACTAAGATCAAATATTTTATGAAAGAAATTTGTCGTCTTCATGTTATTTAATATTTTTATAATTAATATTAAAAAGAATATTTTCAAATAATAATTTAAAAATAGCGATATATTGATATTTAATATTTAACAACTTTATGAATTGTCTGTCTAGTTCAGTTAGTAGAGCTTTAAGCTCTTAACCTTGTGGTTGTGGGATCAAGTCAGACTGAGGACAATTCATAACGGACGTCTTCCACGGAAGCTGCTATCAACCTGGCGTTGGGGACAACCTACTACCTTATCTCCCCTTTACCCCATTACATATGGGAATAGAGTCAGTTATAATATTTAACAACTTTATATTCAAATCTAATATTTTTTTTGGAATGATATTTTAATAAAAAAAACTTAATGTTTTCATAATTATAATATTACAAATAGGATTTTTAGGGAAAAATAGAAGAGAAAATGACGTGATATATACTGATCTTATTTATTAGATACGCACAGTGTATAATCTACGTACCATGAAGAAAAAGAAATCTGCGGTTAAAGGACAAATCCTGACCATTGATCCAATGAAAAAAAGTGGGACTCGAATGAGTTGTGATGGCGACTCGACTTTGAATCACTGCTCTACTTTCTCATTGGTCTTCGTCATAACTGTACGGTAGAGAAGCGCCACACGTAAGAAAACTGCCCCACGCGGCTATTTCAATTAAATTTTCTAAGAAAGATGATCAAATACAAACAGCTGGGGGGCATAAATCGTAAATATTGACCAACTTGATAATGAAATAAGGTGGGGTATTTTTTAAATAAAATAAAAACAAGAGGATGAAAATTAAATTTACTTATCTTTGTAGGGGCTAACACACAACTCCAATCATGGAATTTTTGGGGAACCACACACCTTAATTATATATGAAAAATCAGTATTTACCTTTCCATTATGAATTATTTTTAAAAAATTGTTGTCTCTTATTTCCTTATATAGTGAGATAAGGAGAGGTAAGATAGTAGGTTGTCCCCAACACCAAGTTAAGAGCAACTTCCGTAGAAGATCTCCGAATTATGAAATGTCTTCTGTGGGACTCGATCCCACGACCTCAAGATTAAGAACCTTGTACTCTACCAACTGAGCTGGATGGTCACTTCTATGAATTATTTTTAAAACTTTGTCGATTACCTGGCTTTTGACATTTACTATTATAGATTTTTTGGCATGTTGAGGTTGTTGAGTGGGCTAATCATTCGATGTTATATAAAAAAAATTAGTTGATCTTATTCTCATATACAATGGGATAAGGGGAGGTAGGATAGTAGGCTGCCCCAACGTCAAGCTGAGAGCAGCTTCCGTAGGAGACCTCAAGCCTTATGAATTGCCTATAGTGGTACTCGATCACACGACCACAAGATTAAGAGCCTTGAACTCTACCCACTGAGATATACGGACAATTCTTATATAGTTTAATAAATCTTAAAAATAATTATTATATAAATTAATATTTAATATATTAACAGTGCATATAATTCTACGTATTGATTTATATTTAAAGTTTAATAAAAAAATTAAACTTTTGAGGATGTGACAAAATTAAATATTTAATACGAAATAATTATCTTTTTTATAATCTTATTTTTCTTGAAAAATAATTATCTCTTTGAATGCAACGTTTCATGATTGAAAGTTTTGAAAAGATTGTTCCAACTTTTGGGACGATGGTTGAAACATAGGCATCAACACCCATATTTTTGGCTTGGAACACCTCGTGGAACTAATTATTTGATTTTCAGAATATATTGATTTGGATAATATTTTATTAATTAATCTAATTAATTTAACTAATAATAGAATAATCTTATCTGTTTGTCTTAATGTGTTTGTAAATATTTATAATAGTGTCACCACGTGCTTTAATCATGCTAAATAATATATAAAGAAAATAAATCTAACTTATATATATAAATATTACATGTTATAAATTAAGTAAAAAAATAGGTAAAATTTTATGTATTTTAATTTATGTCGGTTGATATATAAACTATATGATTATATTATTTAAATAAAATTATCATATTAAAGAATATAAATCAATCTATAATTTACGTATAATATAAGGGTTAACAAAAAAATTTACCCTTTTTTCCCATGGCGTTTTTTATTTGCATCTTAAGATTCTAAACCTAGGAGTTACGGAAGAAATGGTAATTTTATTATATTTATATAAAATTTATTTACGTTAATAAAGTATATTCTATTTAATAGATTTATATTTATACTGATAATAGTTTTATATTTTATATTAAATAATTATATTGTGTTGTAAATTATCATTAATATAAAAATGTAGCCAAATTTGAAGAACGTCGGCTATGTCTAATTTTAATTAAATTGTATATTCTTTTAATTTCAGAAAGACAACTAAGATATTTTCTGCCTCCATCATGAGTTAATAGTAAACACCGACTCCTGGTAACCTACGTAAATTCCATGCACATTAATGCCACGAAAAGAAAAAGATAGGATGTCTAAGGTACCACATTCTTAATATATGGCGTTACCGAAAATATTAATATTTTTTAATAATTTCAGTAAAACGTTACTTAAAACATTATATTTTTTTATCGAAAATATTAATAAGGGGCGCTACCTAAAATGATTAACATTTTCGGTAAATGATTACCTAAAACATTATTTTTTTTCTACCATAAATGTTAATATTGGGTCTACCTAAAATGTTATTTTTTACCGAAAATTAGGTAGTAAAATTAATTTCTTTTTTAAAAAAAATATTTTAAATAACATTTTATTGAAAATGTTAAAAATATTAATATTTCTAATATGACATTTTCTTAACTATATATTAAGGTTATCGTTCAATTGAACCACTAAAAAAAGATAAGTGCTCATTTTGAGGTTATCTTGTGTTATCTTTTTTCTCTTTGATGATTTTATTTTATTTTATTTTGATATCTAAATTATTTTTTTTGTATTATTTTGCTTTCAAAATTAACGGCGTATAATAAAATTCCGTTTTCGTGCCATATTTTTATAAACAATTTTGTTATTATTAACTAATATAATAATAAAATTATTTTTTTGATTTTATAAGAAGTTCAATTTTAACGCCTTAAAAAGTTCATGGCTTATCCTCTTATATACTTTAAGAATTATATTTAAAGTTAGTATAATATTAAAAAAATATAACATTTGATAAAATAATCATTTTAAATTTTATTATTTTTTTGAAGTACTTTAGTCTTTAACATTTTATTTTTTAATAAAATGGTCCATAATTGAATGAAAACCGTTAATTGATTAACAATTAAAGTTAATCATTGATGTTACAAATTTTATATATTCAAAGTGATGACGTGACACATGTCATTTGTACAAAAGTGATGACATAACAGATGTTGTTACATAAATGATGATATAACATGTGTTATATGTATAAAATGATAACGTAAAACATACCACGTGTTCAAGGTGATGACGC